GGTTCCAGACATCAATTGAGCATGGTTATGGATTTTGAGCATAGTGACTTGAGGTATTTCATGTGGAGCAGTATTTGGATAGGATCGCACGTGGCAGCAAAGCTGTATGGAAATATGACCTTGCGAGTCAAATTTGTGTGTTCTATTTCTATGATGTGAGACGGGTTCTCAGCCGTGTGATGTGATGATATCGGTGAGCTTGCGGTACGGCTCTTTCGTTTGAGTCAGTGTCATGATGGGAGTATGTTCGGATTGTTGCTTATTGGTGCGCGGACTGCGCAATGTGTGGCCTTAGCCTGTCTTGGTGCATCATGTCACCAGAGTAAATGTGTTAGAGTAGACGAGATCGTTGGGGCCTGTAATGAATACAAACGGATTCGATTTCAGCATGTTTGATGGTTAAATATCGAGGTTCGGTTCAGAAATTTGCTATGGTCCTTGCCAAGGAGAAGTAACCTTATGGATGACCGATCTGAGAGATGGTTATGATTTATTGCGTGTTTCATTTATCATTGGCAGTATATGGAAGTGTTGGAATGAGACTTTAGTTGATAAGAGGTTTCTACCGGTATTCGGGTGTTGTGTGCAGCTGCTGTGAATGGAAGTTATCGCTACATGTGTTTGAGTTACATGGTATATCGGATAATTGCACTTCAAGTTGCAGGCATGGGTTACTACAGCTAGTTCGGGTCTATTCAAAGTATAGGTGTGAGGTTTTGATCATATTGATGGTTTTAGAAGTGAAAATGTGGTTCTATGGTTTATGGGCTAGATTGGATTGTGTAATTTGAGTTAAAAGGTGTTGTCGGACCTATATGAGATAGGGTGACGTGGGATCACCGCCGGGTATATGTATGGTGAGGTTATTCAGCGAGTGTCTGGCTTTTAGAACAACTCTGGGTACGTTCGAGGACGAACGTTTATTTAAGTTGGGGAGGATGTGACGACCCGACCCGTCGTCTCATGAGTTACCGCCCCGTTTTCCCCATTTTTTGCTTCTTTATGCTTCGTTATCCATGTCTTGTGTGATCGAGTTGGTTTGGAGAAGTTTTGGCAAGAAATGAGACACTTAGTCTCTTTAAGGAAGGTTTAGTTTGGAAAAGTCAACCGGGTGTTGACTATTGTGTTAGAGGGCTCAGATATGAATTCCGATAATTCGGTTAGCTTCAGGGGATGATTTGTGACTTAGGAGTGTGATCAGAAGTAATTTTGGAGGTCCGGTGTAAAATTAGGCTTGAATTGGCGAAGTTAGTATTTTGGCGAATTCCGGTTGATAGGTGAGATTTTGATCCGAGGGTCGGAATGGAATTTCGAGAGTTTATGTAGCTTCGTTAGGTGATTTGGGTTGTGTGTGTAAAATTTCAGGTCATTCAGAGGTGTTTTGATTGGGTTTTTGATCAAATGCGTGTTTCGGAAGTTTTAGAAGAACTTAGGCTTGAATCCGATGTGAATTGATGGTTTTGGTGTTGTTTGAGGTGTTTTGAGGATTGAAACAAGTTTGGGTGATGTTTTAGGATGTGTTGGTGCTTTCGGTTGATGTCCCGGGGGCCTCGGGTGAGTTCCGGATGGTCAATCGGACCAATTTTGGCATTTGGGAGTTGCAGGTTTTTCAGTTCAGTGTTGCAGAGGTTTAACCCTTCGCGTTCGCGTAGGGTGAGTCGCGAACGCGTAGAAGGAATTTGAGGGCCAGGAATTTAGGCCTTCGCGTTCGCGTTTGAGGCCTCGCGATCGTGGAAGGTTAGGAAATCAGGCATCGCGTTCGCGTGAAGGTCTTCGCGTTCGCGTATAAGGGCTGAGGTCCAGTGGTGAGTTGTTCTTCGCGTTCGCGGTTGAGGGACGCGTTCGTGTAGGTTTAGGGATCCAGGGCTTCGCGTTCGCGTAAAATGGTCAGTGGAAAAGTTTGTTCATCGCGAACGCGAGTGGGCCTCACGTTCGCATAGAGTAAAATGTCAGCTGGCAGAAGGGTTTTTAATGATATTTCATCCGCGAGCCTAAGTTATTTTCCTCCATTGTCGAGCACCTTGAGAGCTTTTTGGGAGGAATTGAAGAGGGTTTCGACTGGGATTGATTGGAGGTGAGTCCTATGATCTAAAAGCACGATTATATTGTGAAATTAACCTTGGAATTCATGGAAACTTGGCTAAAATTGGAAGAACTAGGGCTTGGATTTCTAAATTTTTAACTGGGATTTGATGGGTCATTTGAGCTCGGATTTGAGAGTTCTTGGTATGTATGGACTCGTGGCGAGATAAAGAACCCGTTGGTGTAAAAATTTCTGAGATTCGAGAAGTGGGCCCGGGGCTCAGGTTTTTGCTGATTTTGATATTTTTCGATTGTTTTCGATTGGGTATTGTTTCCTTAGCATATTGTGACGTATTCGTTCTGATTTTGGTTAGATTCGACGCGCGTGGAGGCCGATTCGAGAGGCAAAGGCGTCGCGAGCTAGGGATTTAGCCGGTTCGAGGTGAGTAATGATTGTAAATGATATCCTGAGGGTTTGAAACCCTGAATTTGCACATCGTAATGCTATATTGAGGTGACTTGCACGCCGGATAGCGAGCGTGGGGTAGAGCACCGTTGGGGATTGTTACTTGGTCCATTCCGATTGATGAATTTACAACGTATTTGACTGAAATTACTTGTTATCATCATAATTTGGGCTGATTGCCATATTTGGGCTTCGTGCCAGCTATTTGAACCCTCCGGGGATTTGTTGTTGATGATTCCTCACTGTTTTGATTTATACTTGAATTCAGTCATGCATTTTCCAATGTTTTAAAACTCAGCCAAGTCTATTGTAATTTAACACTTGAAATGATATTTCCAATAATATTTTGGGCTGAGCATCATGTTTTACTGTTGCCTGAGTGGTTTGTGTGATCTTTGACTGGGTAAGGCCGAGGGCCTGTATTGTGAGGATACTTGTAAATCGGGTTGCACGCCGCACAGTGTCGTACTGATATTGATATGAGGCCGAGGGCCATGATTGATGCCACGAGATGGCTTGTTATTGCGCTTGGGCCGTAAGGAGCCCCTCCCGGAGTCTACACACCCCCAGTGAGCTCCGTCGACGATAAATGGATCGGGCTGCACGCCGCAGCGGTACTAGTACAGTTCTGTATGTTTACTTTATTTCATTTGTCTGCCATTATCTGTTGTTTGTGCTACTCTTTGCAATATTTGCCTGATATTCTGGCATTATCTGATAACTGAGTGTTGTGCCCGAGGGGCGGAAATTCTGTGCTCATCTGCACTATTTGTTTTGCATTCATTAACGTAACCGCTAAAAAAGTCATTTTTAAAAGAGGTTTAAACTGAGCTAAGGTGTTTCGCTAAAGATTTCATAGCTTCACTGTTTTTCTAAAAAGGGTTTACACTGCTTCTATATAGCATGATGATTTGTCATACGTGATTTCTTACCGCTCAGTTGTTATTTACCTTTATTACTTACTGAGTTGGAGTAATCACTTTACTCCCTGCACCTCGTGTGCAGATGTAGGTATTTATGCACCCGGTAGCGGGTTTTGACTGATCAGAAGCAGAGTCATAGGAGTTAGCGAGGTGACTGCCAGCGTTCGCAGCACCGCTTTTCTCCCTTTTGTTCATTATTCTGGCTTTGTATATTTTAGGCCTTGTGGTTGGATTTACACTCTAATAGATGCTCGTGACTTGTGACATCCCGGTTTGGGCTGTGTCGGGTTGTACTTTCGCTAATTAATATTATTAAATCATATTTAAACTGCTTATGAACTGTTTAACTTTTTAAAAGGATGAATTGAGTTTAGTTGACTGGCCTTGTCCCCACGAGAGGCGCCATCACGACCGGGTCCAGGTTTGGGTCGTGACAAGTTGGTATCAGAGCCTAGGTTACTAGGTCTCACGAGTCATGAGCAGGTTTAGTAGAGTCTCGCGGATCGGTACGGAGACGTCTGTATTTATCCTCGAGAGGCTGCAGAACCTTTAGGAAAAACTTCGCATCCTTGAATTCTTATCGTGCGTCCTTTGATTCAGCTAGAAAAGTAACTCTTGAAATTCCTTCCACGTGTTCGTATGCGCGCATGAGCGCTCAGTATCATATGTGCCTTGATGGTTTGTGATTCCCCGATCGAGGGGCGAGATGCAATATCTGTGAGTTTATGCCGGGCCAGTCTAGAGGACTTGAGGCCGGATCTTTGCCTATGGCTTGAGCGCCGAGGTGCTGATTGTGTGAGCAAGTGTTTTGAACTTACATGTTCGGTATGGTCCCTATTAGTGGGAGTGACGGCTGGATAACTATGTGATGAGTATGTTAGTGTTGCGAGATGTATCTATATGACTTGGAAGTGACGAGGAAGGTCTTGTGGATGATAGATGAACCATCGAGTGTTTGATTTCCATTGTGACTGAATGTGTGGCCTCGAATTATGGGCGCGTGAAGAACCTTTTTATGTTTTCCAGTTGAGAGTGAAGTAAATTTTATGTTGCAGTACGAGTTCAGACTATCTCGCAGTCCACCGCGATATTTCCAGCCCCTATTTCTGAAAAAGGTAGGGCTATTAATTTACACTGATCATTTATGTTTCTATGTTTACTATGCGCAAATATGTAATTGAAAATTATCTTGAACCAGGCTCAACATCAGGAACTGCAAATGAATCATGTGCTTTAACCTCTAAAACAGTTACAACTAAAGGTTCGTATCACCATCACCCTTAGCTGGTTTTATCACTTCTTTGGTCTGTTTCTCTTAAAGTTATTTGAAATATGCAGGCCGTCTAAGGAATAAAAAAACCACGATTAATAATTAATCAACTACGTTCTGATTATATTCTGTTAAAAAGGGTTCCAAATTGTAAATTCTGTCATGCGAAAATATTTGAGTATGAACCCCCTGGATTTTGCTGTAGTAGTGGTACAGTGAAGTTATCCTCCCATCAAATGCCAGCTAAACTGAGAAATTTATATATGGGAACAACGCAGAATCCAAGCACTTTCGAACGTACATCAAAACATATAATAATATGTTTGCCTTTACGTCACTTGGTGTCAATTATGACAAAGATTTAGCCAACAAATACCGTGGTATCTATACATTTAGGGTTCAAGAACAGATGTATCACTTGATAGATGATTTATATCCCAGAGAAAGAGGGCCGAGAAATTTGCAACTCTACTTTTATGATAATGCAAATGAGCTTGAAAATAGAATGGTTTGTTCAGATAAATTAAATGAATCAGCAGTGAAGAAACTGATGGACATACTAAAGGATAATCCATACTCAATGTTTCTGCGATCCTTAACGGACATGTCGAACTTGCAAAACTATCATATAGCACTAAAATGTGAAGCTGGATTGGATCAACGTGTATATTATATGCCTACTACTATTGAAATTGCAGCAATATGGGTTGATGAATATGATGGTTCTGTTATTCATGCACTACATCTTCAAATTTATACTCACAGTGACAGGACACAAAGAGTGAACTATTATTTTGGGTGCTATGACCCTTTACAGTACCCGCTGTTATTTCCACATGGTCAAAGCGGGTGGCATTGTGGTACTAAAAAGCTCCCCAAACCAGAAAATATTCCTAGAAGTCGTACTCTTGAATTTGAACAATTGCCAAATATAAAAAGTTTCACCTCTGTTAATGGATAATCTTGATATGGAAGCTCAAATTCTTCAAAAATGAAAACGCAAAAGAGATGTCGTTTCAGTTCGTGAATACTACTGTTATAAACTTCAGATGAGGAACGATGATGAAGATGAAATTTTGCATACCGGAAGGTTATTCCAGCAGTATTCAGTTGATGAATATATAAAATTGGAGACACAAAGGTTGGACTTTGTTTCGTTCAACCAAGATTTGTTCAGAATGGGTATACTGCAAAGACTTCTTGATATTCTAAAACTTGGCGAACGAGATGCTTCTAATGTTGGAAAACAAACATTTTTGCCAAACTCTTTCATAGGAGGTCCTAGAGATATGCGCCAACGTTATATGGATGCTATTGCATTAGTTCAACGTTTCGGGAAACCTGATTTATTTATAACTATGACATGTAGCCCATCTTGGATGAAAATAAAAGAACAACTATGGTCAACTGACGAGGCAAAAAATAGACCTGATTTGATTACTCGAGTGTTCAGGGCTAAAATAGAAGAGCTGAAGACAGATATATTAAAATGAAATATCTTTGGAAAAGTTGTTGCTTCTATGTACACTGTGGAGTTTCAAAAACGAGGTTTACCCCATGTTCATTTTCTCATTATATTAGGTAATGAGCACAAACTGTTGACAGCAGAAGCATAAGATGATATAATTAGAGCAGAATTACTAAATGGTAAAGTAGAACCAGATTTGCGTAAGCTTGTCATTAAGCATATGATGCATGGTCCTTGCGGTAGTTTAGATCCAACAAATTCTTGCATGAAAAAAAAAGGGTTACTGCAAGTTCAAATATCCAAAAATGTTTGCCGATCAAACATCGAAAGGAAATGATTCTTATCTAGTTTACAGAAGACGAAATACAGGGGAAGTTGTGAAAGTAAGAGAACAATATTTAGATAACTCCTGGGTTGTTCCTTACAATCCTTATATACTTGGGAAATTCAACTGTCACATAAATGTTGAAGTGTGCTCCGACATCAAAGTTGTGAAATATCTCTACAAATACATTTGTAAAGGACATGACAAAGTTGCATTTTGTGTACAAAATAACGATTGTCACACCTCTTTTTTGCCACACAACCCTATTACGAGGTTGAGTTAGAAGAATTTTCCAATTGAAGTGACGTTTTGAAAAGGAATTATTTATTATTTAGAGTCGCCACTTGGAATTGAGTTTTGGTGTTCCAAGTCACCTTTTATTCTAATCCCTTTTCAAAAGGAATGTTTGACTCTTAATTTATGGTCTGCGAAACAGAAGACTGAGTAAGGAATTCTGTTGACCGAGGGGAAGGTGTAAGGCACCCCTCGAGTCCCGTGGTTCTAGCACGGTCGCTTCTATTGACTAATGTAAGGCTTAAATCAATTTTTAGCTATTATTGTATTTTGTTGATTATGAATTATTTAATACCGGTTAATTAATTATTGTATTTTATTAATTGTTTTGACCTAGATGCGGTACGCACACAGGGCACTTCCTTGAAATTAAATATTAAACCAAGGTACGGAATGTACACATGGTTATAACATAATTATTTTAAATTTAAAGGCATCAAGACGCAGAATGCGCACATGATCCTTTTATTATTTAAGCATATAAATCCAAGGTTCGGGTATGAACACATGGGCTAATATTTAAAGTACATCTAAAGTTTTTCTAGTGTTTTAAAACTGTAGATGTTATGATTTGTTTAAAAAAATATATACTCAATGAATTCTAAAAAAAAAAAAATAATCCCAAACAGATTTACTACGTGATATATAAAATAAACTAACTAATGACCTAAATTATCAAATAAAACCAACACCCAATATTTAATTTAATATATTTAACTAATCAAAAGTTTTTAATTCCTTCTTTCTCAACAATGGCTATCCAAGACCAAAATCTCATAGAATTCAATAACTGTACAATAAAACTTATTACCCCAAATTTATTCTTCTATGGTTGACGCTACAAACAATATGAGACTTATGAAACGGAATAAATTTTAATTTCGGGCCTTATCTTTAAACAATTCAAACACCCTAAATCACAAGCTAATCACAATAACAAATACCAAAATACATGAAAAATGGCCGGTTATCTTCAAGCTTACTATTCTAATTAGGCATGGGACCTAAATATACTCAGTTGCAAAGAAAATGGTACAAAATTCTCATCCTTGATATCTTTAGTTAGTAACTTAGCATAATTTGATTAATATAACAAACATATCCTATAAAAAGTTTTGTACTTAACGTATTCTCTTTATATTGCTATTGTCTTCTAGTGTGCCTTGGAGGTTTAAAAGGATGAAAAATAAGCTTTTTTTTTTTTTTCTCTGACTCCTAAAGAGCCCAAATATTACTCTTTGAAACAGAAAAAGGTTTAGCATCGTTGACAGCGAAAACTACCAAAGGTATTAAATAAAGTGTGAAACATATGATCATATGACTAAAAAAAAAAAAATCAAGGGACGCACAGCAAAAACGAGAAAAGAAAGAAACTGGCCAGAAGCAAACTTTTGCTTCTAATTCTTCAAAAAATTTATATCACACTAATTTAAGCAAAGACATAAGAAAGAAAAGAAACCGATGAGTGCCGTAAAAAGTTAGCAATTTAGGAGAGAGTAGTTTAAACAAAAAGATGGATAGAAAGAAGAAACAAAAAAAAAAAAAGAACGAAAAGAAGAAAACAAAATGAAAAGGCATCAATGAAATCTGGACATGAATTCTCAAATTTGAGATGAATAAACTATTATGAAAATACCATATTACTATATACAACTTGGCATTTAAACCATGGAAAATTCACAACAAATACTACTAAAAATGAGAATCATACTGACCTTTGAAGTAGAATTTTTCTTTCAATAATACAAGGAATATCCACCAAAATACTACTCCAAAATCCCAACAATCTCAATCGAACAAAAGCAACCAGAAGCCGAAGATCACTAAACACAAAATAAGCTTGACCGGAAACCGCAAACCCGACCGAGAACTCAGATATATTCGTGGGTGCTTGCTATTTTGTGGTGTTTCAAGAAGCTTTTCCTCTCGTTTTTCACTCTTTTTCTTTACTCTGTGTTTTCTATTTCTTTTTTTTTTCAGCCTCTCCCTTTCGTTTGTCTAGTCCTCACTTATATGGTGATAAGAAACTGGTATTTTTGTGAAGTGGGGGGAAGATCATGGGTAAGTTAGTAGGAGACGTGAGGGGAGTGGCAATATGGGATGGATCTGTGGTGAGATATGTAAGGGAAAATGTGGAGATAATGATGGAGTTGGAGAAAATGGGGCTTTGGGAGGAGGGAGTCATGGTTGTTAATTAGGAAAAAAAATGAAAATAAACAAAGTGAGTGAGGGAGTTATTTGTATAAATGACGTGATGGAAATGGCTGATAGTTTAGCAAAATTTTATTTTAATATTTTTTACTCTTTTTTATTTATTTTAAAGAAAGATAAGTTAAAATACATAAATAAAAATGTTAACCTACTTCTTTTAGACAAAGAAAAAAATAAATATAAATAAACTAAATTAAATATTTACACTATAATTTGAATGATACAAAGAAAATACATAAGGAACTAGCTTACTTGTAAAAATATAAATTAAAAGAAACCAATATATTTTTTTTTTTGTAAATTTTCTTTTCTCCATACAATTAGAAATAAAATTTGTACTATAAGTACATGAACATTTTTTTGTAATTTTTTTTAATTTTATATAAACCTATTAAAAGTAAAAATAAAAGTTTAAAATATGAATATTAGATTTTAAAAGAAATATTTATGCTAAAAATAATAAAATTTAGGTGTGATCAAAAATTAGTTGTTCACAGCATGCCCCTCTTTGCTTGGAAACATGAAGAGTTTTCAGGCAAAGAAATATGAACAAGGTGACTAATTTTTGGCCTCACTATTATTAAAAAGGAAAATAAGATAAAGAAAGAGATGCGACCGAGCCTTGGTTTTAAGCAGCCTACATATCCCGGGTTATAAGGGAATCAGGTCACGTGTAGTTCAAGTAGAAAGAAGAGTGATGGAGTATACTTAGGTGGAGAGTCCACCGAGGTTCCGTCGAGGTACTGATCCGCGGTTCCTACTATTACATCAAAATGAAAAGAAAATTACATACTCTTGAAATCTAAGAGTTACAAAATTCCTATCTATATGTCATCTGGAGTCTTGTATTGATTCTTGACTTGCTTCTTCAATTGACTTTAGACGGAAACTTGATGCTCCCGATGCAATAGACTGTGAAATATTCTCGCATGCTTATTTCTTGATTAGATGATGGGAAGATGGATCTTGAGACCCTATGTCTCTGCATACATTATGTCCAAGCTGGTTGCTGCTGGTATTGAGATCGAACATTCCATTTTCTTCGGCAAGAGCTGGAATCTTATTTTTTGCACATCTAATCCATGCTTTGTAGAAAAACCTACAAACCAACACAAACAAACAACACGAACAAAAATTTTCTGCCCAAGTTTGCACTAGGAAATTTTTGTGAGTTATTGAAAACACATGAAACTATCTTTGCTATTGCAGAATAAAGAAATTAAAAAAACATGCATTTTTTAAATAATAGGGGATGGCGTACCCTGTGTTAACAAGAAGGAAGGCAACCAGGGGACGTAGTACCCTGTGTTGACGATAAGATTAGGCTCGTGGCACTCTGAGATTCTACTAGGGGATGTCGTACCCTATGTAGGTAGAAAGTAATGCGACCAAGGGATGTAGTACCATGTGTCGGCAATAAGATGAGGCTCGTGGCACTCTGAGATGCTACTAGGGAATGGCGTACCCTATGTTTGCAACAAGAAGTGCAACCAGGGGATGTAGTACCCTGTGTTGGCAATAAGATGAGGCTCGTGGCACTCTGAAATGCTACTAGGGGATGTCGTACCCTATGTAGAAAATAAAAATGCAACCAGGGGATGTAGTACCCTGTGTTGGCAATAAGATGAGGCTCGTGGCACTCTGTGATGCTACTAGGGAATGTCGTACCCTATGTAGAAAATAATGCAGCCAGGGGATGTAGTACCCTGTGTTGGTAATAAAATGAGGCTCGTGGCTCTCTGAAATGCTACTAGGGGATATCGTACCCTATGTAGAAAATAAAAATGCAACCAGGGGATGTAGTACCCTGTGTTGGCAATAAAATGAGGCTCGTGGCTCTCTGAAATGCTACTAGGGGATGTCGTACCCTATGTAGAAAATAATGCAACCAGGGGATGTAGTACCCTGTGTTGGCAATAAAATGAAATGCTACTAGGGGATATCGTACCCTATGTAGAAAATAAAAATGCAACCAGGGGATGAAGTACCCTGTGTTGGCAATAAAATGAGGCTCGTGGCACTCTGAAATGCTACTAGGGGATATCGTACCCTATGTAGAAAATAAAAATGCAACCAGGGGATATAGTACCCTGTGTTGGAAATAAGATGAGCGTCGTGGCACTCTGAAATGCTACTAGGGGATGTCATACCCTATGTAGAAAATAATGCAACCAGGGGATGTAGTACCCTGTGTT